ATTACAAGGTGTTTCGTCTTCTGTTTGCCCCGCAGGTCCCTCTGCTCACTCACATTGTGTCCCCCCAGTCTCCCGCCACACTTCTCAGTTCCCTGTTGTTAAACTTTACACTTAACGTTAATGAGAGTAGGAGTTGTCTCTCTTACTAATTACTGTGTCACTCGCTTCAGAGTTTCTCAGTCTGGTGAGCGGCTGTATGTGTTTGCTGTAAGTCTACCCATAGCCCATATGAACTTTTGATTTTCTTAGTTTGAATTCACTGCTAACCTACATAACCACAATCCTCTTTTGTAGGTACTGATATGGTTCCTGTTTCACAAGGTTATACCCTAACAAGTATTGCCCAGAATTTATACACTAATTGAAAGATACTGAGGAATCCAAATGGGGAAAATAAGTTGGCTGACGATGACCAAGGAAGACTTAGCAGTGAATAGAAAAGAATGGAACTGGCAGATGTTAGTAGATGCTGTTAACCCACAATGCTGAAAACAGTGTCCCTTGCACATCGATGTGGGGACGCTAGTGAGTCAGAATAGATGTCATAAAGATAGCTTTTTTCTTTTCTTCGGAGACAGGGCCGTCCTAGAACTCACTGAATAGACACCTGGATGGCTTTGCATTTACCCTGCATGCCTCTAGCTCCCAAGGATTAAATAAAGCTATGTTGCCACCACAACCAGCTTGGTGACACTATTTTGAATTCAGGGTAGAGAGATGAAGGAAGGAAGGTAGGTCCCTTGGGTGAACTTGAGGTGTGCTGGGCTCTTGGGGGGCACCATTGCCCTCATGGTCTACCACCGGTCTCATAGCTTTGGATTGTTGATGACAAAAGACTTATTATTGGGGAAAGCCCAATCTATTCCAAGATCGTTATATAACAATCATAATTGTGATGGCAAAAATTAGGAAACACGTGGTTGATTAGATCTTTAAGTTGGAAACCATGGCACAAAGCCAGAGGAGAAAATGTATGACAGTTACAGTGAAAAGGTAAGCAGGAAAAGATTCTACCCCTTACATGCCCAGAATGGGACTAATAAGAACCGAGTGGATATTGGCTAAGAAAATGGAGATGTACTAAGAGATTCCTAAAGCCAATAAAAGTGTGACAAAAGTTTATCCTACTGACCAAGGCTCATAGAAACCATTATTTCCCTAAAGTGTTTAGAGAAATGTAAAATAGTAATTGTAGTAGTCGCAGTCATCAATGTCATCATCGTCGTCGTCATCATCATCCTTGTCAGATAACCTGTAAGATGTTAGGGATGGAAATTGGTGACATATTTGAAGAGCCGTGGAACTTACAGATACATCCACAAATTGATAGGAAGGGCTATCTAGCTACACAAACAGACCCGAGTGGCCAAATTGTGTATAAGTCGTAGACTGTGCTATGCCGTGGCCAGGGTCTGTGCTGCAAATGATGAGGCCATGCAGGCACACCACCAAGCAGGGCCCCCATCGCCTGCTCAGAGAGCCCCCTGTGGGAAGCTTTGTGCTACACGAACAGCAGTTTACCCAGAGGAAGAGTTTACATTTTCTTTCTCCCCTGTGTTGTTAAAGGGTTTTAATAATGCGGGTTGATTGATTTAGTCATTAGGGGAAATGCCCCTTGTTTAAGAGCTACCCAACTCAAGTTTATTCTTTTTTGTTGGAACACACGGTAGAGCACTTGCTAGAGTTTAGTCCTGAGGTCGGGTGTGAGGACCTAGACCGTGGTGAAGTATACGTCACGAAATAGTGAGATTTCAGTGGCACCGAAGGTGGTTTAAAATTGGGGAAGAGTGAGACTTTATTTGTATTCATTCTGTGTGTGATGTGCATGGAGGCCTAGAGAAGGATCTAGATCATTTCTGCCATTCTCCACCGTATTCCTCAAAGCTAGGTTGGCAGCCAGTAAGATCCAGCAATCCTCGTATCTCCATCTCCTCACGAAGCCTGGGTTACAGCTGCTCCTATGACTAAAACTAACTTTGCACATGGGTGCTGGAGATTTGAACCCGAGTCCTCAAACTTGCATAGCACACACTCTTGCTCACCAAACATCCTCCCAGCCCCAAATTAAAATGTCTGTTTTTCAGATCTTTATCTCAGGTAGATAAAACAGCTCAAAGATTTGTAGAATATATGTAGAAGATAGATCTGGACTGGTTGCCAACTGGTTCCAGAGAGTTTGTAATCCCTTCCGAAAGCTGCCTGCCTGTGAGGTGCATCCTTCTGTAGTACAGCCGTGTGCAAAGGAATGGGTCAGGTAAAGGGTGTACCGTGGGAAGAAGGCACAGAGTTTTAATGGGGGAAACTTTATTTGGCTTCTCAGTTTGTCTCATCTTGGTGATTCATTATCAAGTATGTCCTGGATTCTTCACTTTAGCCTTTTAATTTGCTAGCCGTGGGGGCGGTCTGCAGTTACCAAGGGGGTGGCAGAGGAGAGGGTGGTTAACAGATGCAGGCGCTCAAAAATGGAAATAAGTATGAACCAAAGAGCATCCAGTGTTCAGAGAGTTCACCCCCCCAACCCCCCACCCCCACCCCCACCCATCCCCCACCCCACCCCAACCCCCCACCCCCCACCTCAACTTTGGTTCTCTGTCCGTACACCTGTGAGTTCCCGATGTCACATCTCATGCTCAGGGACTTTCACTGCTCAGGTCCTGGGTAGTGAGCCTCGTCATTGCTAGCAAAGCAGAAGACCACAGATGGGATTACTTGTTCCTGGAACTCTCGCTCTGTAGACCAGGCTGGCCTCGAACTCACAGAGATCCGCCTGCCTCTGCCTCCCGAGTGCTGGGACTAACGGCGTGTGCCACCATGCCTGGCCCTCTTCCAGAATCTTTTACTCTTGCTTCTTAGCCTCTTCTGTGCATTGAAGTGTTGGCATTGCAAACGTGTGCATTGCTGTTGTGCTGGAAAGGTATTTATTCCTCATGTTTATCAGTAATAAATATTTTTAGCTTATAGTTAAAAATCATATAAAACAACGATAGTTGCTTCCTTTCTAACACGTGAGCCCCATAATCTTCAGAGCTGGTTTGTTACCCAGCACTTCACGAAACATGGTATAGGATGCCACTGTCTTGAGTCTGATTTTACTCTTGAATATTGTTGGTATTTTGTCACTAAACACGATGGGTTGGTTTAAGGAGGATTTGGGGATTTTCCCCCTTAAACTCATAAGAGAATCTTTTTCCCATTAGGACTACTGGGCAATGTCGCACCGTGTATTGGATTTCTTTTGTTGATTGTGCTTTTTTTTTTGCCTAGAGTTTATATTTTATTTTTTTAAACTCAGGTTATCAATTTTGTTAACTAGCCTTAACACTTTTATTCTCTGTTCTTATTAATTTGGAGTACACACACACACACACACACACACACACACACACACACACAGCAGTTTTGGTCATGCATTGATGTTCCAAGTCCTTTAACAGCTTTCTGTCTAAACTCCTCGGAGTTATTTACTGTCTGTGTTTCTTGGAGGTGAGAGTATCTTATATGCCTTTCCAGTCCTCACCTCAAGAGCTGTGTGCTGAACTTGTACCCTGCTTACAGGTCAACCTGTGAGTCGCAGCAGAAGTCAGCGAGTGATCTCCTGGCTTGGAGTCAAGAGCAGTAGGCTTACAACAGTAACAGTAGCACAGGGGCATACCTTCCCTCACCCCAGTTCTCACCGGCTGGTCCGCTGAGCCGCAGCTCAGTCATCTGTGTAAGCACACTGCTGCTCTCCAGAAGGGTCTAACCGCACTCTGCCGTCTCGTTTGCCCTTCTGGTCTGTTGCCAGACTCCTTGTCATCTAGGTAGATGCCTTTCCAAGTCTCTCACGGCCCACGTCGCCTTTGAATTGCCTTTGACAAGCTAGCAGCTCCTTCGCCTTCACCGCGTTCGCTCTCCACATCGCCTGGTGGCCCTTCTTGGTTGGCACAGTGGCCTGCTCTGATCTTGCAGGTAGACCCTGGTGGTGTCTCCATGCCACCCTGGACTTCAGTCAGTGTCCTGATGTCTTTATGAGCCTACAGAGATGAGTGTTTGGGTCTCATAGAGAACCTAAGGGAGTCAGTGTCTGGATTAGATGTGTTCTCTGAGGATCTCATAGCCAGTGCTTGCAATAGCATAGTGGATAGGGAGTTGTTTCCGTTTGGTTTCCTTGCAGCAGGTTTGGAGATCGATAATTGCTGCTGTCGATTCAGCTCTTTAGTAACCCTCTAGTAAGCATCTTTAGTGTGTCCTTCTCACCACCTGAAATGCCCCTTTGTCCAGATGTGTACTTCCACATTATACCCATCCTTGAAATTACTAGTTGCTCAGAGCCTTTCTTAACTCCCACGTGAAAATATTCTTTCTTTATTGCCCTACAGGCAGTGTGAAGGTAGAAAATAGCCCTGTCACTAATACACACACACACACTCACACACACTCATGCAGGCACACACATACCTTCCTTACTGAATTATAAATTCCATGCTTATAGCGCAGCGTTCTGCAGAGTGTCTGTTTAAGGCAGGGATAGTGGGTTACCGTGTTAAATGAATGGGAGAGGACGAATGAGCCATCTCTTTGAGAAGCTTGTCGTTACTAACTAGATCTTTGAAAGTGTTGCCATGGGTGCGAGTATGAAAGTGTTGGGATTTAGCAGAGAATTTAGTTTATAGGAATAGAGCGTATATATTGCTGAAAGGGAGCATCTTTATTGTATAAACTTAATTTATGATCGCATACGGAGTTTTTTTGTTTTGTTTTGTTTGTTTGCTTGATTTTTTTGGTTTATTTGGGTTTCTCAGTGTAGCCCTGCCTGTCCTAGAACTTGGCTCGGTAGACCAGGCTGGCCTTGAGCTCAGAGGCCCACCTGCCTCTACCTCTTCAGCACTGCCACCGCCAGGTTTTTTTTTTTTTTTTTTTTTTTTTTTTTTTTTTTAATGCTAGATGTTGTACTTTTAAATGCAGTTAAAGCACTCTGTTACTTTTATGGGGTGTGAAACGGAGACTGTCCTTTCTCTCAGTGCTTAGATGAGTACGAAGATGATGAAGCCGGACAGAAAGAACGGAAGCGAGAAGATGCCATCACACAGCAGAACACCATCCAGAACGAAGCCGCCAGCCTCTTGGATCCAGGCACTTCCTACCTGTCCCAGGTGAGCATTGAGAATGGCCAGGAAGTCACTGGCTATTTGAACAGCAGTCTTTTAAACTGCTCCTAATAGTTTTTCCAGGCCCGTCTTGGTAGCATCAGGCTGGCCCAAGCATTTCCTGTGGGCTCAGCCACCGGTCTCTTCTCCGCAGACTTACTGACTTGATCACTGCTTGGCTCTCCATCCCTGAGTAAAGAGTATAATCTGACTGACTGGCAGGGTTTAGGTAACATCGGGTGTAAAAATAACCAAGAAAAACAATCACTTCTTCATTACTGAAAAGTTAAGAGTGAAATGGCTGAGCTGAGTAGTATCCCATTCTGTTCTAGACTGACTTTTGGGTCCTAAGCATAGAAAAAGAAAAGGTTTCACTTGGTTTCCCCAATCAACTGTTTACACGTGACACAGTATTGTTATGCAGAGTGCAGTGTTGTGAATAGTGTCATGTTTAAGTTCCCAGAAACCCTTTGCATCTCTGAATAGTATAAGGTACTTCTGAAAATAAAACTTATTGCAGTTTCCCTTCGATTGCTTACTTTGACGATGGAACAAACCACTCTGTAGAGTGTTTTTTGGGGGGAGGAATGCTTCTCAGGACACAGAATCCACGGCCCTGATATATCTGCCTGTCATCTCTAGAATCAGTTATGTTAAATGTTTTTGAAATAGTATTGGTATAATTTGTCCTGGTCTCGTTAATTTCCACGATTGCCTTAAGTCCGCTTACCCACCCTCCCACTCCCCGTTTTTATCTGCCTTTCCCTCCTCGTCCTCCCTCTTTACCTCCTGTGTCTCTCTCCTCCACACTTGTGTGTACAAACACAGGCCAGAAGCTATAACTCACCTCAGATGCCATTCCCCGGATACTGCCCACTTCTCTTTGGTTGTCCTGGTACTTGCCAACTAGGCTAGGTTGCCTGGCCAGTCAGCCTCAGGGGTCTGCCTGTCTCTGCCTCCCTACAGCTGGGATTATAATTACGGGTCACCACACCCAGGATTTTGTTTTTATAGAACAGGGTCTTTTGATGTAGCCTAGGCTGGCCTTGAACTTGCTGTGTATCTCCCAGGTTGGCCTCAAAGTTGTGACCGTCCTGTCTCTGCCTTCCGATGCCGGCACCACACACTTTGCATCCCAAGATCGTCATGTTTTCAGAGTTCCAGTCTTCCCTTTCCTGCTCCTTCCCCCTCCTCTCCCCTCCCCCTTGTCTCTAGAAAAGTCTAATGTGTTGAGGCTTCTAACCTCAACCTTGCCTTGAACCTCTGGTTTTCCTTTCTCTGACAGCTGAGTGCTAAGATTACGGGTGTGCTGGTAAATAAACCCAGGCCTTTATGCTTTTAGGCAAGTAATCTACCAACTGAAGGCATCTCCTGCCCCTGGTCCCGAGTTTCTAAATTCATTTTATTATTGTGTGACTTGGAGGATCACACACCTTTCTGTGCTTAATTGGTGGAAAGATTAAATACATTTATATTTGCTATTCTGCAACGTTGTGAAGACCTTTGACAGAGGGAGGCAGACTATTTTGAAATGGTTAGGAATTGTACATCAGAACTTCTCTCTCTTCCCTAAGGCTGAAGTTAGTGACACAGAGACTCATCGAGTGACGCGGTTCATGTGTGTGTGTGTGTGTGTGTGTGTGTGTGTGTGTGTCCGCCATTCCCCCAGTTTGCTGTTACTGTCAGTAATGATCGCTGTGGCTCTGTGTAAAACAGTGCCCTGTCACAGTGCCGACCACACTGCTTCCCTAACTGACTGTGCTTGGTCATACTCTAGATGCCTTAGTACTTTTGTTTTCTTTCTTTCTTTTTAACAAAATTGACATTAACCCTGGCCCTCTTTTGGTGATGCCTTCCACACCGTGAAGGTTTAGCTTTCTCTGTGGTGGAGAAAACACACCATTGTGATTGAAAGTCTAGGCCTGGTTTAGTTCTTGCCCATCTCTGGACACACGTGACCACAGTATCAGACAGCGCCTGGAGACAAAGGGCTGGTTCCTTTCTACAGACAAAGGCTCTGTCTGCGGCGCTGTGGCTATGTCCAGTGTGTACACCCTCACGTGGGCTTCTAGCTCAGGTGAGCTGGCCCTCAAGATTCGCTGCGCAGAAGCATCTTCCTCATTTAACTCTCTGAGCTCTTCCCAGGCCGGCTCTTGTTCTCTTCATTATCTGTCTGTCTGTCTGTTTTCTCACTAATTGGGATTAAAGGTTGGTCAGTCACTGGGGAATGTGGCTCCAATTGTACTCTGCCAGGCTGTTTGCCTAGCACGAGAGTGAAACTCATCAGAGATGGCATTGGGAACAGGAAGTGCCCTGTCCTCATAGTTGATATCTCCCTGAGCTACAGCACAGAAATCTAGAGGAACTGGGGGTGGGGGGGAGGAGGGAGAAGGACAGAGTCCTAGTTTTACTTTAATAGGACCGAGAGAAAGGACTCAGGGAAACAGGCCTTTAGAAGCGGACTGCCAATGCCAGTCGGAGTGTGACTTGACAGCTGCTCTACGAGTGGTTAGAATATTTTACTTCTGGTTTAAATTTTGTATGTAATACCGACAGTGGTAATAGAAAAATGGAGATTCAGTCACTTTATTTTTAGCTATGGCTTCATACAGCCTTTAAACGTGGTCATGCTAGTTTTTTTAAGTAAACATTTTCTGGGGCTGGAGAGATGGCTCCGAGGTTCAGAGCACTGGCTGCTCTTCCAAAGGTCCATAGTTCTCTTCCCAACAACCACAGGGTGGCTCACGGCCATCTGTAGCGGGATGAGATGCCCTCTATTGGCATGTAGGCATACATGCCTTGACAAAGCATTGATACCTTAAGTAAACGCTTTCTAATTAGGTTAAATTTAGGAAATAAGGGAACATAGAAGAAATGGTACGTGGGGTGGTTGTTACATTCCGTTATGTTCTTCTGTTTTCTATCAACTATTAAATCTTACTCTTTTAAGTTTTTGAAGGCACAAATTCAAAAGGCATAACTGTGTGGTTAAAAAGAAAAAAGAAAAAAGTTGTCAGATACCTGGCTCCCTTCCTGGAAGCAACTAGTTATTTCTTTTCTACATACAGCTTCAGAATTAACCTACAAATGAAAGCTATATCTGTTTGTCCATCCATTCATTCATCTATCCCGTCTCTCTTTCCATACTAAATGTTCTTCAAAAAAAAAAGTGGCATGTCCCACAGCAGTGTTTAATTGTCACTCTGATGTCATCAAAGCTTTATTCTATTGCATAATCTGATGGCATGATTGGAGTATGGCTCCTAGTCCGAAAGGAGGGTCATGTGCTGTCTTCCACCATCATGAAATAGGTGGTGGTGGTGGCGGTGGTGCACGCCTTTAATCCCAACACTTGGCTGGCAGAGGCAATTGGATCTCTGGGTGTTCAAGGCCAGCCTGGTCTACAAAGCTAGTTCCAGGACAGCCCTGTCTTGAAACACTCCCCATCCTATCCCACCCTACCCCCCACCCCACCCCACGCCCCAAAAAGAAAGAAAGAAAGGCAGAAAGGAAGAAAGGAGAAACGTGCTTGCTGCATATATTCTAAGGTACTTGTAAGATTTATCTGTTTGTCCTCAGTGGTAGTTCCTGAGAGGGCTCTAGTCATTTTTTTTTTCCTCCACAACAGTTTCCGAAGACTTGCTACAAAGTCACAAGGACGCCTAGAAGACATTTTTCTTCTAAAAGTGCTTCTGGAATACTTCCTTACATCGTTTCACTCATACTCAGGCCTCTTTACAGCTTTTCTAGTTGTCCCAGTCATGTCCCAAGGCAGAGCCGAGGAATTCGCTTCAGAATTACACTCACTGCCTGTGACTCTCTCTCAGTCTGAAAGCGCTCTAGTCTTTCCTGACCTTTCCTAACTGTCCCTAACTACAAAGGACTTGATGACATAGCCAACAATTTGGGTTGTGTCATGCTTACTTACAAGAAGCTGACATGTAAAAAAGCAGAGAAAGTCTCGTGCACTAAAACTGCTTGTAGAAAGTGCTGCTGAACTTGTTCCTAGTTTTGGAAGTCCCAGAGACCATGTAATGAGATCCTTTGAAAGCCCCGGGTCTGTTACACAACAGATTTCAAGCCTACTTTTCCTGACATAATCTTCCTTGCAGGGATATAGTTTATCCTGCTAAAGGGAGGGGGAATACCTAGGCAGAGCTGCAAAAACGTTGGCAAAGCGCAAACTGTTTGGCTTAAGTTTAAATAAAGCTCTGGCTTCGTTGGAACACAGAATGGTCAATAAGGAAAACTCAGGAGCACAGTCCTCACAGGTGCAGAGGCTGTTGAGATCCTGTGATGCGTAAACAGACAGAAAGCAAACGTGCAATAAGACAGGGAAATACAAGCACACATAGATTAGTTTACACATAGAGCGAACTTGTCCCATTTAGCACTAATTACTTGTAGTTATTAACGAAGGTCCCTAGTAATTATAAAGTTAGTTAGCTCCTCTGCCTGGGAATTTTTTTTTGTGGTCATGCAGATCTAAGGTAGAGTTTATATTTGTAGAATTGTGCTCTTCCCTGGAGGAAGAATGAACACCCTCCCCCTTATAAAAGACCCGTGTTGTGCTTACATGGGTAGCTAGAGTTGACCTATCTGTTCTTTCCTGTTATTCTCTGAAGATAAGCATGTTTTTATAAACAGGATCTATTTTACTTAATTGCACATGAAAGCAAAGACTGGCCTTCCCTTGTTTTAGGGGATGCCTTTCTAATGACAGATGGGAAGAAATGTCATACACATCTGGCCAGGGTTTTGTTGCTCTCTCCACACCAGCGGATCAACAGGCAGTGGAGTTGTCTTTAGGGAGGCTTCCCCAGAAATAGTTGAGTATTGTCCATGGGGATCAGGCCCACCCAGACACTCCAGGATCCAGTTATTTGGGTTTTTTGTACCCCTGATAACTTCCTGAGTGCTTGGGGTTTTTTTTGTTTTGTTTTGTTTTGTTTTCCTTTCTTGTAAAATTAGATTGCTAAGAAAGTAATTTCTCTAGATTTGGGGGCAGGAACAAGCTTCCAAAAGCTCATATTTTACTTAAGAAATAAGGGATAAAAAAAAATGAAACATTGGGATGAGGGCATCTGTTATTTTAAACATCAGTGCAGAGAGAAAGACACCATTTAACAGAGCTTGGGTGGAGGGGTTTTTAATTAGGGGACAGTGAGTGGGAAAAGGGGAGAGGGGAGACTGGCCTCCGTGGACAGGAGTGGCAGAGAAGTGGGGGGGGGGGGAATAGGTAGAGAAGCAGAGAGAAAGGAAGGAAGATGGGAGGTGGGCAGGGCCCTTTTAAAGTGCACAGGTGGTGGTCTTAGTGGCTGAAGCTGAGGGCCTATCCTGTCAGAACCCCCAGGGCAGGCCAGTACAATGCCTGAACACTAACAGTATCTTTTAGTGGTTTACGATGTTTTAGTGAGAATTTATGAAGTATTTAATGTATATGGGAAAAGCTGATAAAGGTTTTTGTACCCCAGCTAGCCTTCTAAAGTTGCACTTTGTGCCTGTTGGGCCGATTGATCCCTTCTTATAGCCTGTAATCCCACAATACAATGGGCATTGCTGCTGCTTCCTGTTGGGGGACTGGGAGAAACCTGAACCCTTAGTCACAGCTGCCTGCTGAGCAGCAGGTCTGGTTGGAGGGTGGCTTGGTTCTTCCTCCTGAACAGTTTGCCAGACTGTTGCCAGGGTTGCTACGCCATGGAGTTAATGGCAGTCAGTTGTTAGTATTTCACTGTGGAACTGGTTGCCTTGGAAAGCAAGCTTATCTTTTCCTTCTAACCAGACCAGAAATTCTTTAATTATGTAACCTTCCTTAGATGTAACATGATTATCAGTTTGAAGGGGGCTCACCACTTAAATTTGATGTGTTTTATTAAGATGAAACTAAAGAAGTATGCGAGGAGCCCAGATTTATCACTTAACTACTTATTTGCACAGTAATTTTCCACTCTAGTTAATATTAACTTTAAGCAGTCTGTCTCCTCTTTTTTTATTTTTGTAGCTTAGGATCATTGCAGTGATATGCACGTTTCTCACTTTTTATTTTTAGCTATAGTTTTAAGACGTTAACCTCTGTGTGGTGAGTTACAGGTCTTTTTTCTTTTTGGTTTTTTGGTTTTATTTTTGTTTGTCGAGACAGGGTTTCTCTGTAGTTTTGGAACCTGTCCTGGAACTAGCTCATGTAGACCAGGCTGGTCTCGAACTCACAGAGATCCACCTGCTTCTGTTTCCCCAGTGTTGGTGCTAAAGGCGTGCACTACCAACACCCGGCTTAGTTACGGGTTTTTTAAGCTGTTAATATTTCTCTGTGTATGTGTGTATCTGTGTAAGTAGAAGTGTCAAAAGAGGGCGCCCAGGAACTGGGATTATATAAGTGAATGTGAGCTGCTGGTTGGAAGCTGGGATTTGGACTCCAGCCTGAAGGAACTGCCAGTGCTCCGAGGACTGAAGCCCCCCCCCCCCCTCTTGCCCCGTTTGCTTGTTGGTTTTGTTTTTGTTCTTTGGTCTTTTTCGCTTTTTGTTTTTGTTTTGTTTTTCTGAAACAGGGTCTCCCCATGTAGTCCTGGATGTCCTAGAACTCACTTTGTAGGCCAGGCTGGTCGAAGTTCACAGAGATCCTCCCGACTTTGCCTTCTGAGTGCTGAGATTAAAGGAGTGTACCACCAGGCCAGCTTGTTTTTTTTTTTTTTTTTTTTTTTTTGCTGTTTTATTTATTAAATGAGAGCGTAATAAAAGACAGGAGTTAGCATTAAGATTAGAATGATTGTCAGGTTGGAGAGGTGCCTGAGGACAGGGTGCTGGCTTAGCATGCTTGGGCTCCATCCCCTGCTGTAATCTGGGTATGATGGTGCACATATATTACCTCAATGGTCAGGGGTAGAGGCAAGAAGGTCAGATGTTCAAGTCTGCCCCTGCTCCCTAGCTAGTTCCAGACCAGCCTTGTTTATGTGAAACCCTCACTAAAAAAGAAAAGAAGAAAATTGTAACAATTCTGTTTTTTGAATACTCATGCTACAACCCCATATTTGTCTTCACAACCAAAATATTTCCATATTTAAAACCTGGTTGGTTGGGCTGAAAAGCCCAATACGGTGTCTTTTGTTTGACCAGCGCTGTGACACGCTCTTAGTGCAACTGCAGTTGCTCTACACAGTTCTTTAGTGGTTGCTGTTGTGTTTTTCTGCAATCGGTAGTTGTTGTACTGAAGCAGGCACAGCTGATTTCTCCTATTTTCCTTTACAGGACCCTTCAAGAACAGTTCCAGGCAGATACAAAAGGTAAGAATTGTAACTTACAGGCTTGAGCCTAGGGCCTGTCTAAATGTTGACTTGAATAATTAGAGCCTGCTTTCACTCACCTTTTCTTCAAAAACCAAAAAACAAAACCTTAATGCTGTGTTCTTCAAAAGAAATTCCCTTGTAGACAGAAACGCAGCATCTGTCAACCCCATTTGTTTCTGACCTATCCTGCAAACTCTCAGAACTGCAGCGTGAATCTTCATGGGTCTGAAATAGAAACTTAGAATTAGTTTCCCTCCATACAGTTACACGCTGACAATACAAGGGGTCCGACAAAATGCTATAAACTAGTTATATTAACCAAGAAAACTGGGGATCCTGTGGTGGCAATGGCATTGGTAGCCTGTCCCATAGCCGTTCAGTTCCAAATAAACACTCAGAGGCTCATATTAACTATAATCTGTTTGGCTGATGGCTTGGGCTTCTTATTGGCTAGCTCTCTCTTAACTATTAACCCATTAAACTTTGTATTGCCACGAGGCTGTGGCTTACCTGTAACACTGGCATATTACTCCTTCGGCGGCTACTTGGTGTCTCTCCCCTCATGATCCTCCCTGCCTTCCTTTTCCCAGCATTCCCTTTGTCTGGTAGCCTCGCCTATTCTTCATGCCTGGCTAATGGCCAGTCAGCATTTCTTCACCAACCAAAAAGAGAAACATATATTCACAGCGTACAGAAGGACATCCCCCATCAGACAGTGGCATTTATTTATTTGTTGAGGAAAGTGGTATTTGTTAAGACCTGGTTTGCAGTTGCTCATCTTGCTGTGTTCTTTTGACAGAGCTGAAGTCAAATTCTCTGTCTTTATATGGGCACTGACCACACTGTGAGGGTGTCTACCCCATGACCCCGTGTGAACCTAATTCTTTCCCAGAGTTGTTATCTCCATAGCGGTTGTTAGGGCTTCTGTGCCTGGTTGAGACACTGTATCATCTCACCTTCTACCCTGTGGAGACACAAAGGTTGCAAAGATTGTGTGCTCTACTTAAACAAGGGTTTTGTTGAGATGTTAAGATGCTCACATGTAGCGATCATGTGGCTCTCAAGCTTGGCTTGTAAAGTAGATAAAATATCTATAGTGCTTTTTTAAAAGACTTATTTATTTATTGTGTATACAGTGTTCTGTCTGATTGTATCCCTGCCGGCCAGAAGAAGACACCAGGTCTCATTTACGGTTGTGAGCCGCTATGTGGTTGTTGGGAATTGAACTTAGGACCTTTGGAAGAGCGGCCAGTACTCTTAACCACTGAGCCATCTCCAGCCCCCCATCTACATGTATTTTATAAAGGAAGCAGGGCTTAAAAGGTAGAAGAGCTTCCTGAGACTACAAACCCAGTTGAGAAGCATATATCAGATTAGAGTTCAGATGGTCTCAGTCCAACTCATACACTCACTAAATACACAAGGTCATCCGCCAAGGCTTACATGTATATGACTTTGTTTTTGCCTATTCATTTGTTAAAATGTAAGACATTTACTAATAAGAACTCTCAGTTTTAATACCAAGTAAAAAGTAAAATGTGATTGTGTTTTTGTCTTTGCTGGGACCTATGGTAAGGGAAGGATGAGAGGCCATTGTGGCAGGAACTGAACAAGATGTTGATTTTATTTTCATGTCTGCACAGTCTTTATGTGCGTATAAATAAGGAAACATGCCTCTTTAATAGCGTGCTGAGCAGCTTTTATTTGCCATGACTAGATTAATCCAAAAAGAATAAATTCTCTTTTGCCAGAAACAATGCTGAGATTAACTTTGACATGAACTAGTCACAGACATATTTTCAAAATAACAAAAATTACCATCATTGCTTTGTTTGTTGGGGAAACTAAGATAAAATTTGATAATTTATCAACTGTGTTATACATATTTTTCTAATCAAAATTTAAATTACAAACAGTACTTTTATATTTGTGTTCTTGAATTGAATTCAGTGAAGGAAAACTTCCTCCCCACCCCCATAAATTCTCATCAAGGGGCTGGGAACATGGCCCCGCAGTTCAGAGTGAGGTCTGCTTTAGCAGAGGATTGCAGTTCAATTCCTAGCACTACATCAAGCAACTCACAGTTGCTGGTAGCTGCAGCTCTGTCACCCTCTTCTGGCCTCCATGGGTATTGCACTTACACACACACACACACACACACACACACACACACACACACACACACACAGAGGCATGCACAACACAAGCGCACTCACACACATAGGCAATACAACACAGATGCAAAACCACCCTGACACAACATGTATACACAAACACACACACACAGAGATAAACACAGACAACAGAGATGTGAGCATGCGCACACACACACACAAAACAGTAACAAAAATAAACAGTCCTTTCCAAAGCTGTTACAAAATTGTTGTGTTAAATTAGTAGGAAATTGTTTCCCGGGGTATGTATTTTTCTATTTTTAAGGTAGGAAACCGTTATTTTTCCATGTGACATGTTCGTCCACTTAGCACTTTTATTTTCGTAACCTAAAGCATGTGTTCTGTTACTTCTGAGCTTTCAAAGATCTAGCCCTGGTTAATATTTCCTAGAGAATGCTTTTAAATATCCAAATCACCTGGGAAGACAAGGGAAGTGGTGCATTTGAGGCTAGCCTGAGCTGCTTAGTGAGAAACGGCTTGAATGAGTAAATGAAGAGATGTAGACGTGTAATAATTTCTCATTGAGCTGTGGGCACCCTATTTTAGGATAGTCGAAGAAGTACAGCGTAGAGCTGAGAGCGTGTCTCTGAAATGGTCCACTCTTTATCTCCCAGGACTATCTCACAAGGTCTGTCAGCAGACCATTACTTTCACTAATCTGTCAGCACGTTGTAGCAACGCTCAGAAGATGGGTGTCTCTTGACAAATGGGGCCGACACGAATGAGGAATGGCCTAAAAGATAAACGCTTCGATCACGTGTTAGTCGGTCTTCTCTGTAAACGAAATGACTTGTGCAGACATTCAGCTGGCAATGCCTGAGAAGTCTCTCGGGGTTTCCAGGCTCTGGCTCTGCGCACTCATCTCTTGCACTGCACACTCCCTTTCTCTTACGAATGTCGAGAATGCTTGGAACCCTGTCCATCTAGAAAAGTGTCTTGTGGGTTTTCCATTTTCAGTTTCACGTCTGGAGATGAAGACCGTGACATCTCTGATATTCAGTGTGGGAAAGATGACGCAGTAGGGGGTCTGTGTGTTTCCCTTTTCCCGGTGTGCAGGTCTGTCAGTAGCCTGTGTGCTTGGTTAGGGTTCTAGTACGTTGGCTACATTTACAGAAGGAAGGCAGGCCCTTGAGGGACTCAGCAAGGGTGGGGTTGTGTGGTGCTGCTTTCGTCCTTTGGATGTAGAGTTCAACCAACAGGTAGTAAGGAAGGCTTTTCATTCTCACAGTTACATAGCCACTCCCTGGTTCGGAGCAGCTAACAGTGTTAGCTGTTTCGTTATGTAAACTACTTTTTGTTGTTGTTGTTTTGCAGGGCGTTGGAGGGGCTTCAGACAGGGTTTCTCTGTGTAACAGTTCTGGCTGTCCGAGAACTCACTCTGTAGGCCAGGCTGGCCTTGAACTCACTGAGATCCTCCTGCCTCTGTCTCTCTCAAGTGCTGGGATCAAAGGTGTGCGCCACTGCCACCACCACCTGGCAAGACTTCTCTTGATACACAAATGTATCAGATTTAATATCTCTGGGAAAACACTTAAAGATTTTAATATCTTACTTTGTGTGTGCCTGTATATGTGCCTGGTGCCAGCAAAGGTCAGGAGAGGGCTGGAGACCCCGCAGAACTGGACTTAAATGGTTGTGAGCTGCCATGTGGATGCTGGGAACCAAATTTGTGTCCTCTGCAAGAATAACAAGTGCTCTTAACCACAGAGCCATTCATCCAGCCCCAAGATACTCTTAGATTTATACATTTCAGACTGGAAGTGATGTAGGGATAAATTGACCCTTACTGGCATCCTTAGTTGTCACTACATAGGTTACCTCTCATTCTGGTTCTCTCAAACCCAGCAGTCAACATAGGAGCTTGGGGGGTAAGAGAAACTGGACAGAGATAAACTGGAGAAAATCTTTTGAGTAAAGGAAGAAAGGAAGGAAGGAAAGAAATGACCAGGCCATGCTGATGCACACCTTTAATCCCAGGACTCAAGAGGCAGAGGCAGGTGGATCTCTGAGTTCGAGCCTTGTCTACAGGGCAAGTTCCAGGACAGCCTCCAAAGCTACAGAGAAACCCTGTCTTGTAAAACCAAAAAAAAGTCTGGAAAGACAGTCAGGACTTTGAGATGGGGCTGTGGCAAGCGGTTCCTTTTTTTACCGTTTCTTACAGTTTTAATAGAGTCTGGGTGTTTAATAGAGTTTGAGTTTTATTTGTGTGTGCGTGCATTTAAAGGAAGGGGAAGAATATGGAAGATTGTGGGACCTGGAGGGACGTCCAATCCAGCAGTGTGCGGTTGCTCCGTGGTAACTTAGAAGGTCATGATCCTCTAACACCTCTGAATGTTTGATACCCATTGTTTAGTAGGATTTTACTCATGAGTCTTGTATTTCGTCCCTTTGCTGAGCTTTCAAATGTCTGTATTAGTGGAAAATTCCTCTGACTGTGATCTCTTAATGCTACCAATCTTGTTCTCATGATAGCTTTAGAATAACAGTGTTGTTTTCCTGAACACAGCGGCACCCTCTCATCTTTCCACAGAAGATGTGAAAATTCCCAGAAGGGGGAAAACTTCCAGTAAAGGGTGCTATTTTATCTGTGATGATCCTACTTATTATTTTCCCTTTACTGAACATCGTATTTTATATCTTTGTGGCCAAGAGTAGACAGCTCTCTTTGGATCTTAGGTTTGTGTTAACATTCCTAATGAGAACATCACAAGCCTTTTGGAGTTCATGAAACAATTTTTTTTATCCTGAATATTTTCCATTGTGCATATCCGTCCCACAAAGTAGATTGAAAACATTTCTGTTTTAGGATAAAGAGCTAACTTT